CTAAACCCTAAACCCTAGCATAAATCATTAATTGTCATTAACTGTTTGGCGATATGAACTCAGCAGGAGCATTCACGTTTGCTAAGCGCGATACTGAGCCGGCGTTGAGGATAAGTGTCAAAAAAATCAGAGAGCCTGATCCAGCCTCATGAACGTTCGAAGAGAGTCAAGAATACAGTCATTCATGTAAAGAGCAAAATAACAGCAATACTGAGTCCACAGCTTGGTCCCTCTTAGCCAGAGATTGTGCCGCAAAATGAGCGAGTCTACTCTCGCTCGACACGCCAAGCACCTTTTCACCGGCCAGTGAACAAACGGCTAGTTGCAGAAAAGAGCTGATTTGCTCTAGATAACACGCAGTACACATGCAGCGCACTGCAAACGCTCACACCCTGCAGGAAGCAACTTTTGCGATTTTACACTTTTTCTGGACACAGCTGGCAACATAGTTGAAGGTAACGACAATGTGAATAGAATAGATTTGCTGAAGTACATCACAGCCTACATCGGTTTGTCGATGACTCGTTGGCGGTTTGTTGGAAGCTGTTGGCCGCGGAATGAGCGGGAGTGGCTGGAGGCGTTTGAAGCCTACAAAGTGCCAAACCCTAAACCCTAAACCCTAAACCCTAAACCCTAAACCCTAGCCGAGAGCGGTTTGTCGATGACTCGTTGGCGGTTTGTTGGAAGCTGTTGGCCGCGGAATGAGCGGGAGTGGCTGGAGGCGTTTGAAGCCTACAAAGTGCCAAACCCTAAACCCTAAACCCTAAACCCTAAACCCTAAACCCTAGCCGAGAGCGGTTTGTCGATGACTCGTTGGCGGTTTGTTGGAAGCTGTTGGCCGCGGAATGAGCGGGAGTGGCTGGAGGCGTTTGAAGCCTACAAAGTGCCAAACCCTAAACCCTAAACCCTAAACCCTAAACCCTAAACCCTAGCCGAGAGCGGTTTGTCGATGACTCGTTGGCGGTTTGTTGGAAGCTGTTGGCCGCGGAATGAGCGGGAGTGGCTGGAGGCGTTTGAAGCCTACAAAGTGCCAAACCCTAAACCCTAAACCCTAAACCCTAAACCCTAAACCCTAGCCGAGAGCGGTTTGTCGATGACTCGTTGGCGGTTTGTTGGAAGCTGTTGGCCGCGGAATGAGCGGGAGTGGCTGGAGGCGTTTGAAGCCTACAAAGTGCCAAACCCTAAACCCTAAACCCTAAACCCTAAACCCCAAGTCGTATAGGCAAATTCGTTAATCTCTGAAGCCAAGCACACGAAATGATGATTGCAATAAGCGCTGCTGTAATCCCGAAGATCTGAATCCTGAACGCCAAACCCTCCTTCCTAAACCCTAAACCCTAAACCCTCGCTTTTGCGTCTGCAGCAAACCCCCGAGTACCTGCAGTTGAACGCGGGTATGTCTTTGGAAAGTTACAAAAGAATTTATTTTTTCGAATTTGTTCATCGGTGGCTTGGGCGGGTTTTGGGGGTTTTCTTTTTCGGGGGTTTACTTTTTTTCTTTATCAAAAAATGCATCAAACTCCCCCTCGCCCTCCGCCTCGCCGGTAAACTCTAGACCCTAAACCCTAAACCCTAAACCATCAGCCCTAAACCCTAGGCACCACACTGGGGGCTTTCGCGCTGAGAACAAGACAGACACGCACTGGCGGCAAAACGCGCCCGCAGCGGGCGGCTTATGGTTTTAGCGTCTAGGGTTTAGGGTTTATGGTTTAGGGTTTAGGGTTTAGGGTTTAGGGTTTGTGTGCGCAGTATACGGAGTGCTCGGAGGCATCCAGGGCCTTGTGGGGTGGTGGATGGTGCGTTCTGGTTTTAAAGAGCCTGAGACTGAGGTCAAGACCCCACGGTAAACCCTAAACCCTAAACCCTAGACCCTAGGACCAACGTTTCAGCTTCAGGTAGAAGGGTTTAGGGTTTAGGGTTTAGGGTTCAGGGATTAGGGTTTAGGCAGGTAGGCGGCAGAAGCAAAGCCTCTAGAGGCGACTTGGGGCATCAAGAAACCCTAAACCCTTTCCGAACCCTAAACCCTAGACGCTGTTCTTCCCCAAACACTAAACCCTAATTTTGCTGCGAGCCTTTTGTGCACGTCCTAAAAGAAATATACTTGCTGGATCAGGGTTCAGGGTTTAGGGTTTAGGGTTGGGAGTTTCGTGTTTAGCGTGCAGAGTGCAGGGTTTGGGGCCTGGGACTCAGGGTTTGGGGTTTAGGGTTTAGGGTTTGCGAGTGCGTCTTAGGGTTTCTCCCTACCGCCTGGCCTTCCACTTGGTAATGGCAACGGGCCTTTACGCTTTGCTGCTGTGGCAGAGCTTGTCTTTGCTGCTGCCATCTCCCGCAGCAGCAGCAGCAGCAGCACCTGCAGCAGCAGCAGCAGCAGCAGCAGCAGCAAGAAAGGACGTGCATGCATTTGCTGCTCTAGCTGCTACCACCTTCACCTCCGGGGCTTTTGTTGCTGGCAACGACGCCGGCAGGTGCTGCAACACCTGGCCGAAGATGGGAGACCAGTAAACCCTAAACCCTAAACCCTAAACCCTAGACCCTAGGCAGCCGAGACTGCAGACGAAGTCCCTCCAGTCAGCGCTCCGCAGTCGCAGGTCCCGAGTCTGTGCAGCTAGGGTTTAGGGTTTAGGGTCTAGGGTTTCGCATTTTAAGCTGCGCAGCGTCGTAGTCCTTTCGCTGGCTAAGCGCTCAGGACTAGGGTTTAGGGTTTAGGGTTTAGGGTTTACGGTTTAGGGTGCCGGTTCTGGCCCTGAAGAGCCGTTCCTCCTCAACCCCTCAGGAGCCTCCAGCCAGCAGATTGTTCTCGCCGCAGTTCCCCGTCCCCAGGGCTTAGGGTTTAGGGTTTAGGGTTCAGCGTTTAGGGTTTAGGGTTTAGGGTTTAGGGTTTGGGTTTGTTCGCAGCTGGGTGCCGCCTGAGGTGTACGTACACCCGGGGCCTTGGCGGCGGTTTTTGGAAAACCCTCCGACAGTGCAGTTTGTCCATCGGCTATTGGCTTATTCAACACTTTTGTTTTCTTTTCTTTTTTTCTCCAAACACTTTCCCAAACCCTTGCCTCCAGCCCTCAAGGAAAGCCCGCGACAGGGTTTAGGGTTTGGGGTTTAGGGTTTAGGGCTTGAGGTTTGGGGCCTCGGGTTTAGGGTTTAGGGTCTAGGGTCTAGGGTTTAGGGTTGAGGGTTTAGGGTTCAGGGTTTAGGATTTAGGGTTTGGGGTTTAGGGTTTGGGGTTTAGGGTTCAGGGTTTAGGGTTTAGGGTTTAGGGTTTGTGGGGTGCGCTTTCTGCTTTGGAGTGCGTCGGGCTGGGTGCGACGCAGGAGGCTCCGTGCCCTCGAAGAATTAGGGTTTGGGGATTAGGGACTAGGGTTTAAGGTTTAGGGTTTAGGGTTTAGGGCTTAGAGTTTAGGGTTTAGGGTTTGTGGCGCAGGCTGCGGTGCGGTTTGTGCCGCTGATGACTTCTCTGCAGCTGCTGCTGGGCATTTTTACTGTTCTCTATTACGTGCCTACAGAGCTCGGGGTGCTGCATCAGGTTTGCTGCTGCTGCTGCTGCTGCTGCTGCTCATAGTGCTGCTGCTGCTGCTTTCACTGCTGCTGGTGCTGGTGCTGCAGTTGTTGCTGCCGCTACTGGGCTTGTTGCTGTTGCTGGCGCTGCTGCTGCTGTTTTTTGTGCTTTTGCTGCTGCTGTAGCTGCCGCTGTTGCTGCTGCTATTGCTGCTGCTGTTGATGCTGCTGCGGCTGTTTCGCTGCTGTTGTTGCTGCTGCTGTTGTAGCTGCTGCTGTTTTGCTGCTGCTGCTGCTGCTGCTGTTGCATTTGGAAACCCTCTTTTTGTGTTTCTTCAGGCCGGGGGTTTATTGACTCTCAGCAGCGCCATTTACTTGTTGCACCTTCTCTCTCGCCTTAAACCCTAAACCCTAAACCCTAAACCCTAATTCCAACTGAGGGGTTCGCTGCCCCCAGCATTCACAGCCGCCAATTGAGGGTTTGGAGATATCTAAGAAACCCTAAACCCTAGCTGATTCTGCTTCTAGCTCCAGCAACGTCCATTTAAAGTCGCTGTGCATGCAGCAGCAGCAGCAGCTGCTGCTGCTGCTGCTGCTACAGCAAGTGCTGCTGCTATTTTGTCTCTTTCAGCTCGTTGCAGCGGCGACGCAGCAGCAACTAGTCAAAGCAGCAGCAGCAAAAAGCTGCAGCAGCAGCAGCATTTTTTATTATTTGTTTAGCAGCAAAACCAAAAGAATAAATTTTGCACTTTTGCAGAGCCACAAAGAGCCGTTTGTGGGGTCTCAGGTGTACGTACACCTCAGCAGCTGCTGCAGCAGCTGCTGCAGCTGCTGCTCTTCTCTTCTAATTTTTCTTTTCTGTTTCCTTCTGTTCTTGTATCCTCCATTTAACTATTTAACTATTTATCTATTTATTTATTTATTTATTCATTCATTTATTATTTATTTATCTTTGCCCCCGGCGTTTTTGTTTCTCGTCATCTATCATCCATTTTGGCATTTGTCGATTTGCTGCTGCACCTCAAAGTCCAGTGGTCTGTAACAGCAGCAGCAGCAGCAGCAGCAGCAGCAGGAATGGTAGCAGCAGCAGCAGCAACAACAGCACTGGCAGTACGCACCGACGGTAGCGGCAGCAGCAGCAAACAGTAGCAGCAGCAGCAACAGCAGCACAAGCTACGGTAGAAGAAGCAGCAAGAGCAACGGAAGCAGCAGCAGCAGCAGTAGCAACACAAGAGCCGGAAGCGACAGCAGCAGCAGCAGCAGCAGCAGCAGCAGGAACTGCAGCGGCAGCGGCGGCAGGAGGAGCAGCAACTGCTGCAGGAGGAGCAGCAGCAACTACTGCACCCGCATCTCTAGTCCTATTGCTGCTGCTGCCGCTGCTGCTGCTGCAGCCGCAGCAGCAGCAGCAGCAGCAGCAGCAGCCTCCTTGTCTTCTCCGCCTCCGTGGGTGCGGGCGTGAGGTGTACGTACAGCTCGGGCGCGGCCTGAAGTGATTAAAGTGGTTTGAATGTTTTAAATGTTTAAAATTATTAAAATAATTAAAATAATTAAAATAATTTAAATGGATTTTTAAAGTTTGAAAAGAAGACAAAAGTAAAAGCGAAACGCGCAACTGGAAGAGCTGTCTAGACACCGCAGCGCCGCGCAGCGGAACGGCGGTGGAAGACTGCCAAGGTGTACGTACACCGCAAACCCTAAACCCTAAACCCTAAACCCTAAACCCTAAACCCTAAACCCTAAACCCTGTCTCAGCGGGACACACAAGACGCGGTCTGGGGGCGAGGAGGGGCGGCAGCAGCGAGTGAGTTGTTTGGAGAAATAAATGAATAAAATAAAATAAAATAAAATAAAATAAATAAATTAAATAAAATAAAATTGAATTTTGTTTTCTATTTCCTGAGAAGTCCCAGAACCTGAGCCCGCAGCCACTCGTGAGCAGAGCGCTGCCTCTAGGGGCTGAGGGTTTAGGGTTTAGGGTTTAGGGTTTAGGGTTTTCGGCCTAGGGTTTACGGCCCCCCGCGAAGCTTTAGCCTCCTTTTTAAATCTCTTTTGCAAAGCATTCTCAGTAGAGTATTCTGGCTGCCAAGTTTCCCTCTCAAACCCTAAACCCTAAACCCTAAACCCTAAACCCGAAACCCTCAGCGCGCAGCGGCCAAACACGCAATGCAGCGTCTTGCCGCATCGCGCCCCTCATCCTCGCCTGCAGCAGCAGCGGCGAACTGATTGCTAGGGTTTAGGGTTTAGGGTTTAGGGTTTAGGGTTTAGGGTTTAGGGTTTAGGATTTCGTGTTCTTCGCAGTCGGCTCAGCCCTGCACAGCAGCAGCAGCAGCAGCAGCGGCAACAGCAGCAAATGGCGGCGTCATAGGGTGCTGCTGGCTGCAGCCTCTCCTTTTTCTTCAGATGGTTGCAGCAGCAGCAGCAGCAGTTGCAGCAGCAGCAGCAGCTGCTGCTGCTGCTGCTGTTGCAGGCCAGCCTCCAGTGCGGCTGCTGCGCTCCTTCCTGCTGCTGCTGCTGCATCTGGGCGGCCACACGAGCGTGGCCCTGCCCGCAGCAGCAGCAGCAGCAGCAGCAGCAACCGAGCCCGAATCAGCAGCAGCAACGGCAGAACCCGAACCAGCAGCAGCAGCAGCAGCAGCAGCAGCAGATGCTGCTCATGTGGAAAGTCAAAGCGCCTCGGAGGCGACTCTGCTGAGTTCCTTTGAAGCTCCAAGTGTACGTACACCTGAAGACGAGGCCCCCCTGCTGCCTCTTGCTGCTGCTGCTGCTGCTCCTGCTGCAGTTGCTGCTCTCCCGGGCCTTGCTGCAGGGCCTCCTGCTGCTGCTCCTCCGGTTGCTGCTGCTGCTGCTGCTGCTGCTCTCCGCCCCTCCCCGCTGCAAGACCCTCTTCTCTCCCGCGTCGGCCAAAAGCGGAACGCCATGTATGGAGAAGACTTCTACTCCTGTGAGCTGCTGCTGCTGCTGCTGCTGTTGCTGCTGCTGTTGCCGCTGCTGTTTCTGCTGCTGCTGCTGCTGTTGTTTCTGCTGTTTTTGCGTGTTTGAAGATTACCGTTTTGCTGTTTGCCATTTGTGGAGTTGCCGGAGACTGTGCCGCTGCTGCTTGCCGCTACCTCTGTCGCTGCTGCTGCTGCTGCTGCTTGCTGCTGCTGCTGCTGCCTTTGCTGCTGCACGGTTTGCTTCTCCTGGACCTCTGGCTTTCCCTTGCGTTTGCTGCTGCTGCCTGCGTCTCCCCCGCCTCTCCCGCTGCCCCACCCCCCGCTGCTCCCCCCCCACCGCCACCGCCGCCGCCGCCGCTGCTGCTGCTGCTGCTGCTGCTGCTGCTGCTGCTGCTGCAGACCTGGAGGAGATGCGCTCGAAGTGGCTGTCTTACCACCGGGGCGGAGTGGCAACAGCAAGTGTACGGACAGAACTGAAGGACTTAATTGCTTTTGCTGTTTGCGCGGAGTTGGATTTGGACTTGGAGGAGTT